TGTCCCCACCCCCAAGAATACCTAAAATCAACCTTGACCAGGGATCATCTAAGCAGTAGGGACATGACCTGAACCAACCAGAATTCTCCTCTGACATTTTATATGTAGATACTGAGAGAAAGAAGATAAAGCCAGCCTTTTCTTCTGCATGGACTCTCCTTCTGCAGATTCAGTTAACCACTAATCAAAAATATTTGGGAAAAAAAGGATGCATATGTGCTAAACATGTGCAGATTTTTTTTATATTACTTCTGAGACAGTAGAGTATAACTGTTTATGTGGCACTAGGTGTTATGTAGACATTAATCTAGAAATGACTGGAAGTGTACAAGAGGATGTCCAAGTGTCACATGCAAATACCATGCCATTGTGTACAAGGAACTTGAGCACCTGTGGATTTGGCATGGAGGGGGTGGAGGCCCTGGAGCCAATCCTCCACAGATACCAAGGGATGGCTGTCCCCTCCTTGAAGTCGCTAAGCTGGAGCTAGGTGGCACTTGGTCCATCTGTGGCCAGGCTTCCCACCCTCCAGCCCCTTTTACCCCCCACACCTTGAACAGCAAAAGCAAGAGTTCATTTTCAGAAGAGAGTGTGGACAACATGGGGGGAGAGAGTTGGGGAGGAGGGAACAAGATGATCAAGATGATCTGCTCAGCCCAGGGACAACTCCTGGGTCACGGCTTTCCCCTTTGCCAGTCTAGGGTTGGAGGTTTGACCAGTTCTGGCCAGGGAGGTGGAAAGGACTGTCTGCTTGAACCTTTTCAGCTTTTCCTTGCTGACTGGGGAGTGGGGTCCGAGGAGAAGGTCACTTTCCCTCTCTCCCCTTCCTTGTTTGTGACTCTATCACATGAGATCACCATCTTGCATTCTGCCACATGGCAGATGGCAGAATGAAAATGCAGACATGATGTGTCCTTAACGATGTGACTGAGGAGCTGAAGCAATCTGGGAACCCTCCTTCCAGACTTCCTGTGAGGGCTGACAATGAAATGACCTTGTCATTTAAGCCACTGTTGGTCAGGTACTGTGCTACTTATAATCAAGCACATACTGGTTGTTTAAATAATGAACAGAGAAAATAATTTAATTCTTACTTCCCTAATTACCTCAATCCCAGACTTCTCTCTTGAATTTCAACATGCATCCGTTGGGCTTTATACCCAGACAAGACATCTCAAACTCAACAGATCACAACACTGAACCTCCTCTCCCACTTAGCAAGCTTTCACCTTGCCCTCCATTCCTGTGATGTACCAGTCTACCTGGGTACAAAGGCTGGACTCCTAGCAGTCATTCTGCTGTCTTCATTTCCCCTGGCCTCCCATACCCAATCCATTGGCAAGTCAGGTCTACTTCACATTCCAGTCTTTCTCCTCTTTCAATTTCGTTGCCACTGTTTTAGTTGGCGGGTGGGAGGAAGAGGCTCTTCAATCCTCTCCAGGATCACTGCCCCCCAAGTACTCTGCTTGCCTCCCATCTTGTTCATCTCCCAACCTCCATCAGATCCTAAGATGGTCCATCCAAAACCAGCTCTGCCTTTTCATTCCCTTGTCTGAGGCTGGGATTCTCTAGTTGCCTAACAGTGGTTCTCAAGGTGTGGTACCTGGACCAGTAGCATCAACATCACTGAGGAACTCATCCCGTGCAAATTCTCAGGCTCACCTTAGTGTGTCTGCTGAACCAACATTCTGAGGATGGAACCCAGCTCTCTAGTTTACCTGCTAGAAGGTAAGATTCTAGTTGTTTTAATAGGAGGCTTTATTGAAACCAACACAGTATAAAGAACTTCTACTAAACCCCAATCCAAGTTTTACTTCTTACTAGATGTCCAAATTACCCAACCTCCCTTTGCCTCACTTTCTCATATTTAACAGGTAATACTACCAGTACTGCCCTTTTAGGATTGTCAGAAGTGATGTAATTCATGTATTGCTTGAAATAGTGAAAACCTTCAAACTGCACGGACCAGAGTTCATGCCCTCAAAACAGCTCACAGTCTATTAAGCACTGAATAGATGTCAGTTATCATCAGCATCTCAGCAGGCTCTGTTTAAACCTCCAGTTGTGTTGGAGGAACACTGAAGAGGAGCATCACATTGACCTTAGAGAACAACGCTGCACACTGCTAACGAAAGCAGGTGTTACTGTGAATGCCCACAAATGAGAACTGATTTGTGAATGTCAGCGGCAATCATCACTAGGATTTCTGGTTCTCCTTGCTGTGCTGAGAGCAGAGATGCCGGCAGGTGCCCTGGGGCTGTGCGGCTTTCTGTGCCTTACACTAAGTGACCCCAGGCTCCTGCAGCTTTAGGATCCTTGTGTCAATGTTTCAGTTTCATGTTCTTCCTTCTGCCTGTTTATCTGTCTTTGGCAGCCTTCTTGCCACTTCTTAAAATGACTGCTTTTTAGCTACCATACATAAGAAACCCAAAAAGCTCGGACTGTGCAATTGCATTTGAAATGTAGCTAGATTGTGAATGAATTGTCTTTAAATGAAGGCGTGTTTTAGGTATGCATGTGGTACTTTGACATCAGAGGTCCTTTTTTTGTCCTCCTATACCCATGGTGGTGTTTTGAAGGACAAACTTTCTTCAAATAAAGACTGCATGGTCTAGATTGGTTTCTGCTTGGGGTTTGCTGGGGGTTCTTCTGGGCTTGGGAATCACATTTTAATGCACACTCTTGGTTAAAAGCCATACTTATTTTTCTTCCAAATGCTCTACATTTTTATCTGCCTCTGGAGTCTCCCTTCTTTCCCCAGGAATCTCCTTTCTTTTCTCAGGAATCAGGGCCTATTCCCCACCTGGCATGCATCTCCCTTGTGCCCCTGGTCCACCTTCACCTAAACTTGCCTGGTGTTCATCCTGCCACTATCCCCAAACTGTTCTCCGTTTTACACAATATTTATGTTGGCTAAATATTGGCAAAAGCAAGTTATTAGCTTGGCATGTTCACAAACACCTTGGAGATCACTAAGCAGGTGTTATAACATTTACAAATCAATTTTCATTTGTGAGCACTCACAATTACACCTGCTTTCGTTAGCAGTGTGCAAAGTTGTTCTCTAAGGTCAGTGTTATGTACCTCTTCAGTGTTCCTTAAACTCTGCACCGTGTTAGACCCTCTTGGGGAGAACTTACTAATCCTGATGTTCAGGAAAACCACCAGAACTATTAATTCACACTCTCTGGCAGTAGAACCCAGGCATCAGTGGTGTTTAGAACTCTCCAGGTGAATCCAATATGCAGCCAAATTTGGAGAACTTGCTCCTGGGTCCAGTGCTTCCAAACTTTAATGTGCACAAGATGCTCTTAAAGATCTTGTTAAAATGCAGGCTGTGATTCAATAGGTTGAGATAGGCCTGATTCTGCACTTCTGGCAAGTGCCCAGGCAATGTGATGCTGCTACTATTCCAGGGACCACACTTTGAGTTGCAAACCTGTAGTCTCATCAGCCTTGCAAATGATTTCCCAGAAATCATTGTCCTTTTGAGTTTGCAATTATTTCCACATTTTCATTGGCTTCCCTAAGTTATGATTCTTCCCTTTCATTCTACCCATATTCCATGGCTACACTCCCATGGTAAGGCAAGCTTGGTTCTCTAGATAATAATTCTCCTCAAAATAACCCACACAAAAATAAATTGCTTCAAAAAAAAAATTGAAGCTAAACATAAGCCAATTTTCTCCCCTATTGGATATTATTTCTCTGTGAAGCTCACTGAGCACAGGGACATATCCATCAGGCCAAGCACTCTTTGAACATTGTGTGATTTTGCAGATAATAACCCAGTATTTTAATTATTGCTGCTCCAAATAGTTTACTCACAAACACTAGGTCTTTGGCTTAAAAAAAATCATTCATGATGGCAAAAAATAAAATGAGGAAAGTGCAAAGCAAAAATAATTTTCAGTTTCAGAACTGGCTAGGATTCTAGATCACAGTGCCTTGGAAAATGTACTTCCTGGCCAATATTCTGCTGACTTAAAAAAAATATTTGCAAATAGTTATCTATGGACCTGGGTCTGTGACATATTCTTGGGATTTAAAACTTTTCTAGGAGGCTTTTAAATTGGTGTATTCCATGCTCATAACAACTTACAAATGAATGTAAAAGATACTTTCAGAATGACAAAGTATTGGCGTATGATTTCAATGCCTGCATTTGCATTTGAATTTATAATTGTATATATGTCAAATTTTATTTAATTGTCACAGGAGTTAAAGAACACAGAAAAGTAGGAGAATGTACATAAGAATCACATGTTTGAGCCAAGAGAATGCCCAGTGGCATTAGAGAGAGCATTACAAATAACAGTTTCTCAGTACGAGAAACCCTCATAGAACTAGGAAGTCACACCACATCATACTTAAGACGTGCTGAAACTCAAAGGAAGCCATTTTATAGAAACAAGGACTGTTTTACATTAAGCACAGCCATTTAATTTAATAAAATAATATTGTTCATTACACAAAATCAGTAATATACTTTTAAACATCATTGACTCGTATTTCACTAGGAATTAATTGGTAAATTGTTTGGTTCTGTGGTTGCTTCAAAATTAGCATTCTAGTTTGAGTTTGTACAGACTCAAGGAACTTTCTAATGCAACTATGTTAAGCCATGACTGAGACTTTCTTGTCCTTTAGAAAGGGTTTGCGTTTACTTTGTTAGAGTGTTTTTATTCCTCATGCACATGTTATATTCCTTAATGCTTTCTGAGATGTCACAGTGACCTAAGTGGAGACTCTAGGGGGATGTCAATGGGACACCGCTGGGAACATAAACTGAGCTCCCAGATTACATTTTTTTTTATATTAGCTGCAAATATTGTAATAAACATTTCCGAGCGGAAAATCCCCCAGCTTGGAAGTTATGCCCGATGATGACCTGTTCAGCCTGGAGGAACAGGGTGGGAGGGTTCTAATTGGAAAGGTCATTGGGAGAAATACTGGGTCTACAAGAATCCTATGATTGGGAGGCAAAACAAAGTGCTTACGGGCTTTGGGGCCTCTGGGTTTCCAGTCCCTGATGGGTGGCTGACAGGTTTCACGGCTGCCGAGGGTTGGGTGTCCCCTTTGGGCAACTGTTGACTGCATTCTGAGAGGGAGTAAGACTGGCTCTGAGGAGTCAAAACAGAAATAGATAAAAATGCTGGTCCACTGTCAAAGTCTGTCACACGGGGTTGATTTTCCAAAGGCAAAATTGTCCTCCAAAGATGCTAATGCAAGAGCCAAAGGGTTGTTCTTGAGGTCCTCTGCATTCTGCAGAGGCCATTCAAAACTGGTTTTCAGTTTCTGTGAAAGATACACTGAGTGGATAGCTTCAGAATTTTGGCTAGTATGAAAATGCTATTTACGGATGATTTCAAAAATAATGCCTCTCTGTAGAAAATATCTGTGGGATTGTAAGCATCTGAGTGCTCTTTTCAGATGCTTTTAGTAAAGGAAACAGCTTAAAAACAAAGCCAGAGTTTCCAGGGGATTTGGGAGGTTATTCCTTTTCCTCCTGGTAGACATGCAACGTATCAACTTGGTGTGAGAAGCTGCAGCAGATGCACAAAGCCTCATCAAACTGCTCATTGGAATTGTTTTAGATAGGCATATTTCAGTGTAAAACGTCAATAATCAACTCTTACTTGTCTGGTGCATAGTTGGTTCCAAGTGGTAATATTTTAGTTCATTTTTAGTCATTAGCAAGTTATAGACACACTATTCACAAAGCCTAAGCCTAGACATTTTAAAAGAAAAAGTAAAATATTCAATCTATTCCGTGGATATTTGCAAATACTTGGATGTTTGATGCTGTTTTAAAGGTAGTGCTGGAATAGTTTCACCTTTCCATCCAAATGATATGGCCTTGCAGGAGCATTTTTGCCTTGGCCTACTGATCCTTGCAGGATGAACCATCTTTCCCACAAAACTCCAAATGTACAGTCTATTAAGTTTTGGACAACTTTGCCACAAACTAACAGCTTTCATTATACATTCACAAATGTACCTTCAGCCATTTGCTCTCTGCAAGGCACTGTTTACTGCCTTATTTTTTAAACATTTCTCTTTAGCACCCTCTAAGAGGAATTTTTAGTCAATGGGGAAGAAACATATTCTAAAGGCATTTTTAAAGCATGGTACGCTGTTGCTAACACCCACAATAAAAGGTAATCAAAGTGGTAAAGCATGAAATTGTTACTATAACCTCATAGTCTAAATTCTTCCATCAGCTAACCAAAATTCAGATTAATTCCCCAAATCAGTGAAAAAAAACTTACATGATGATTGCCCATTTTCGTGAGGTGTTGGTCTGTGTTGCATTAAGAGTTCAGTCCTCCCACAGAGGAAGTTTATAATGGTTTTCCCAGGGCGCAGTATCTCTGGTGTTTAATGAGTAACCTCTGGCTTTGGATTTGAATACATTGTTGAGGATGGGCAGGGAGTGACCACGGCTACAAATGAGCAAAACTGCCCAAGCTGCATTGATAGGCCGTCTTTTAAGATAACATAATTACTGATGATAAACGGTGGACGTCTTAGGAGGAGCTATTTGGTTTAAGGCTGCATATTGTCTGCACTGGTTGCTGTTATTATTTGTCTCCCACTTAAAGGCAAGGTTGTGAGAAACCTTCCGTCTATAGGGTAGGAACTGTACTGCCTCAGATCCACATGGCTGGATGGGCAGACACACAAACAGCCTGAGAAGACAAGGGAAAAATCGCCCCAAACAAACCCAGATGCACCAACAATAGAATCTAATAGAATCACCACAGTGGAAGAAATGTCAGAGAAGGAGTTTAGAATGTACATAGGTAAACTGATCTGTGAGGTAAAGGACAATGTAAAGAGTGAAATCAGAGATAAAATTCAGGAGGTGAAAGACGTGAATTCAATAAAGAGATGGGGAATTCTAAAAAGAAATCAAGCAGAAATCCTCAAAATAAGGAATTAATAAACCAAATTAAAAATTTAATGGAAAGCATCAGCATCAGACTAGACCACTTGGAAGACAGAGTCTCAGGCAATGAAGATAAAAGATGTAATCCTGAAAATAAAGTTGACCATGCAGATGAGATGTTAAGAAATCATGAACAGAACTTCCAAGAAGTATGGGACAACATGAAAAGACGAAATTAAAGATTTATCAGGATAGATGGAGGCATAGAGATATAAACAAAAGAAATGTGTGATCTTTTCAAAGATATAATCTCAGAAAAAATTTCAGTGGAAAATCAATACAAGAGGCTTACAGGACCCCAAATTACATCAGGCCCCCACCAAGGCACATTATAATGGCTGAGCTCTCAATCCAGACTTGGAAAAATATATATCAAATTCTGAAAGAAAATAGATGCAAGCCAAGTATAATATACCCAGCAAAATTAAGCTTCAGATTTGAAGATGAAATAAAAACATTCCAAGACAAATAAAAGTTAAAAGAATTCACAAGTAGAAAGCCTGCACTATAGAACATTCTCAACAAAATATTGCATGAAGATAAAATATTGCATGAAGATAAAAAGTGAAAACCGGCAAAGGGATAAACTACACTAAGGGAATAATCAATCAAAGGAGAAACTAATTCAAATTAAAAACCAGAAATAAATAAAATGACCAGGACTTCATAATATATATCAATAATAACCTTGAACATTAATGGCCTAAACTCATCAATCAAAAGATACAGACTGGCAGAATGGATTAAAAAACAAGACCCAATAATATGCTATTTCCAAGAGGCTCACCTAATAGGCAAAGACATCCACAGACCCAAGGGGAAAGGATGGGAAAAAAACCATATCACTCACATGGACATTGTAAATAAGCAGGGGTTTCCATCCTCATGTCAAAAAAAGTGGACTTCAATCCAAAGTTAATCAGAAGGGACAAAGAAGGACATTTCATACTGCTCAATACAACAACAAGACATAGCAATCATAAATATTTATGCCCCAAATAATGGAGCATCTATGTACATCAAACAAACCCTTCTCAATTTCAAGAACCAAATAGACCACAACACAATAATACTGGGTGACTTTAGCATACCTCTCTCACTACTCTATAGATATGTGAACAAAAATTAAACAAAGAAACTATAGAACTAAAAATCAATCAATAATTTAGACTTAACAGACATATACAGAATATATTACCCATCAATAAGCAAATACACTTTCTTCTCAGCAGCATACGGATCCTTCTCTAAAATGGACCATATTTTATGCTACAGAGCAACTCTTAGCAAATACAAAAAATAGATATAATACCCTGCATTCTATTAGATCATAATGGAATTAAATTTGAAAAAAAGAAGCTAATTTAACACCTGGAAACTAAATAATATTGAAAGACGAATGGATAGCAGAAGAAATAAGAGATGAAATAAAAAATAGAGGTGAACGAGAATAGAGATGGAACATATCAAAACCTCTGGGACACTAGGAAGGCAGTGCTAAGAGGATTGTGCATTGCACTGAGCTCTTTCATTAAAAGACTAGAAAGTAAATGAATAAATGACCTAACATTACATCTCAAAGCCCTAGACAAAGAACAAATCAACACTAAAAGCAGAAGACAGGAAATAATTAAAATGAGAGCTGAAATCAATGAAATTGAAACAATTGACAAAAGAATAAATTGGTTCTTTGAAAAAATAAAATTGATAAACCCCTAGCCACATGAATGAAGAGAAAGAGCGAGAAAACTCAAATTACTAAATTTCATAATGCAAAAGGAAATATTTGAAGTTTTCTTCCCTTGATGTGTCTTATCTGGTTTTGGTATCAGGGTATCAGGGTGATACTAGCTTCATAGAATGAGTTTGGAAGGGTTCCCTCTTTGTCTATTTCATGGAATAATTTGGGGCATATTGATGTTAATTCTTCTTTGTCTTGAAGACATCAACAAATTTCTAGAGACATATGACCTACGCAAACTGAATCAGGACATACACAATTTAAACAGATCAGTTTCAAGCAGTGAAATAGAAGACAACCTCAAAAACCTACTGATTAAGAAAAATCCAGGACCAGAGGGATTCTCAGCTGAGTTCTACAAGACCTTCAAAGAAGAATGATGTACCTGGGGCTCCTTCAGCTTCTGGAGAGAGTAAAGAATGTCACTCAATCAGCTGGCTTCCAACTGTAAAAGGCAGAGTCACCTCAACACTCAGGATACTGATTAGTGAGAATAAAATTAAATAACAAACAAACATAAATGCACTCATTCACACACATTCATATTTCTTGGAAATGTTTTGCAGTGCTAACATGATCATCTTTACTGATAGGCCATGGATACTTTTTCTTCTTTGCATTTCTCTTATTTATAGTTTCCTTTAATTTTTTTAAAATCATGTGTTGCTTTTAAAATTGGAAAATAAATAAAACTTCAAGAAAAAAATTACTGATAAATAAAATATAGGCTTTCTAAGTTGTATAATTATTCACAACTAAAAGGCTAAAATTGACTCACTTCTGAATTGTTAGAATGATTCATTCAAGTTCTTTTAAAAATTTAGACCTTTTAATAATAAAAACATTAACCAAGTAGAATGAAAAATCTTACTATTTTACTATTTACTACTTTATCACTGTCATTGTTAGAGAATTTTATGATGGCTATACTAGGTTCTGCTAGGTCATCATTTTTACAGCCTAGCTAGTTTTTAAATTTAAAGAATAATATGTGAAGATGGTAATTTTTTTCAAATCGTATAAGAAGTGCAGTGAAAATGAAGCCCACTGACCTCCCAGAGTCTTTCCCAGGGAGATTCCTGCAAATCCTTCCAGAATTGAACTATCCACAAATAGCCATGTCTGTCTGTTTACCTCTCTTCCTCTTTCTCTATTTATCTCTGGTCTCTTCTTTTTCTCAATAAATAGGTTTGTACCATACATTTGACTGGTTTCAGGCCTTGTATGTTCCTGTATCAGGAAATGCATGACATTGGCACATTTCTGTTTTGGTGGCAGGATGGAAATCCATTATGGTTGTGAACCAAGCCTGAGTCCATCATTACAGTTCACTTAGGTTGTTTTTGGTTTTTTGCATGAATATTTTTCATATATACTTCAAATTCTGATTGATGTTTCCAAGTTGCTCCCCACATGAAAGTATAGATGCTGGGCTGCTGTCAGAGATCAGCTGGCCCAGGAGGCTTACTTCCCAAAGACAAAATGTACACCCCCTAAAATAATTTGCCAGAGCTCATTTCCCCACTTACTGGCTAACACTAATATTAAACTTTCCATTTCTGTCAATTTCAAAGATGAAAACTCATTATTTTATTGTTTAATTTTTATGTCCTTTATTTAATAGCGTTAGACTTCTACATTCCATTCCTTTGGAGCTATTTTTATGGATATTTCTGTGGTTTACTTGTTTCTGTCCTCAGTTTTCCTTCTTAGTTATTAGTCTTTTCATTTATATTTATGAAACGTTTTATTTATAGTGGAACCTAGGCCTTTGTCAAGTGTGACGATTATTTCTCCCCAGTTTCTTTGTTTGCCTTTTGTCTCTGTTTATGTTTTGAGTGTGTATATGTGTTTGTGTGAAACGTTAGTTTTTTTTTCTTTCTTTCTTTCTTTTTTTTTGCGGGGATAGATACCCAGAGCCCTTGACCACTTGACCACTGAGCTACATTCCTAGCCCTTTTTATATTTTATCTAGAGATATCTCACTGAGTTGCTTAGTGCCTCACTTTTGCTGAGGCTGGCTTTGAACTCCTGCCTCACCCTCCTGAGTCACTAGGATTACGGGTGTGCACCACTGCGCCCCCCTGAAAGTGTTAGTTTTTATGTAGTCAAATATCAGTCTTTTCTTTCAATTGCTTAGAAAAACCTTTTCTACATGATGATACTTAAATCTTCTTATACACTGTCTTCAAGTTATTTTATTGTTTTAAGACTTACATCTTTGATCCATTAGGAATTGATTTTGATATAGATTAAGAAAGAAAAGGATTTGACTTAGTATTGGTTAGACAGTCAATCCTAGAGTTATTAAATAATTCATTTTTCTTCTATTGGTTTACCTTTATTTTATGATAAATTCCCTTATAAAACAGAATTAGAATTCTATATAGGTTTATTAAGTCCTTATTGTATATAGTCACTTTTGTTCTTTCAATTTCCGTCAGTTGAGAACTTTGGATGTACTAATTGCTGCAACTACCAAAGCAAACAAGACTGATATGGATTTTCTGTTCCTAGAATTTATATTTGAATTTCTATATAAAACACAAGCAAATAACAAGAAATGGTTATGTGTGCTCTAAAGAAGATAAACA